TTAAACAATTAAAATTTTAATACTAATAATTAAAATATTCTTCTAAAAGAATTATTAAATATTTCTAAAAGTATAAAAAAAAATTTAAATAATTATATAATTTATAAATTTTATTTCACTAAAAATGTTATAGTAAAATTTATATATATATATATATATATATATATATCCATAAATATAATTATCATAATTAAAAATTTCAATACACTTAATAATAATGTTGTGAATATTGTTATTTAAAAATATTAGGATATTACAATTCTCCCCTACTTGCAGAAATTTCGTCCTCGAAATTTTTATTGCTTGAAACAGATAAGGATAATTTTTCCTAATTTGTTCTTCCAGTTCCCAAGTAGCGTCTCCAGTGTCTTCATTCCAAATGACCTTTACCAATGAAATCTGTTTGCCTCTCAACTGTTTGGTCCTCATGTCTGCGATCTGTACATGCATTGCATCATATGTAAGGTTATCCTTTAATTGTACTGTATCAGGCATTATTACATGAGAAGGGTCAGAAATATATTTTTTTAACTGAGACACATGGAAGACATTATGGAGATTAGAAATAAAAGGAGGTAGAGAAATTTGATAAGCTACAGGACCTATTTTTCTGAGAATTTGATAAGGACCAATAAATCGAGGTGTGAGTTTCTTTGATTTCATTACCCTACCAATTCCAGTTGTTGGTGTAACTTTCAAAAATACATGATCACCTTCCTGAAATTCAAGAGGTCGTCTTCTTTTATCAGCATAACTTTTCTGTCTGCTTTGAGTTGTTCTCAATTTTTCTTGAATCATTTTGATCTTTTCCGTGGTTTGTTGCACCAATTCAGGGCCTAAGATTAAATTTTCTCCTGTCTCAAAACAACACAAAGGAGTTCTACACCTTCTCCCATATAAAGCTTCATAGGGTGCCATACTTATGCTAGAATGAAAACTGTTGTTATAGGTGAATTCAATCAAAGGCAGATATTGATCCCAACTACCAGAATCCTCTAACACACAAGCTCTCAATAAATCTTCTAAGGATTGAATGGTTCTTTCTGATTGTCCATCTGTTTGAGGATGATATGCCGAGCTAAGGCGAAGCTTAGTTCCCAATGCTTGATGTAAACTTCCCCAAAATTTAGAAGTGAATCTAGGATCTCTGTCAGATATGATACTAGATGGTACACCATGCAGCCGTACGATCTCTCTTATATATATCTCAGTCAATTTTTCTAGGGAATACCTAATGTTGATGGGT